TCCACCCCCAAGTATTAAACTCATGTTTATTTAAAAAGAAACACAAGTAGCAATACAGCATAGACGCATGCACACCTGAGTTCAGACGAAATTTCAGGCAGCTTCTTGCTGGATTGTTTTTCCTTACATAGCACTGAAGAAAGTCAAATATTTCCAGGCTGTTTCCCTTTGAATCGGTGCCCAAGAGAGACAAACACTCTCACCAAATAAAATAGCATAGATGAAAGCGCTCTGTGAACTTTGAAGAGCCATGCATATGTAAGAGAACTATTATTATTACCTTCTGCCTGGTGCATCCTGAGAGGAGGGCTTAGCCGCATTGGGAGCTTGACTTTATTAATTCCTCGCAGGAATCTGGGCTTGGCTGAAAGCCAGTGATCTTTAAATCCTTTGAGAAGGATGGTGCCTGCCAAATAGAACCATCTCCGCTCCGGCATCCCTGGTCCCCTCTAGGAGCTTTGCTGTCACATATTGAGAGACTAGTTTTGTCTTTCTTCCCTTAAGCCCATCCCATTCTACTTCTGCTAAGCCTTGCTGTAGCTCTCCCCCATGCTATGTGCTGCTAATTCTACTCCAGACGTTCTCTCCCTGCCCAGGCCCATCACTCCTTCCCACTTCTCATTTCAACTCTTCCCAGCTGCCATTCTGTGGGACTTCCTCTACTTGCTTTATTCTGATGAGAATAATTAACTTCCCAAACAGTTTTCAGTGAAAGGTAATTTAGAGAAATCTTCATTTCAAAAAGCCTTCTTTGTCCCAAGAGTTTTCCACAGACCTTTTCTGAGTCTAGAGAACCAATCCAGTGATCCACTTATACAGATGTCCCTGCGGCTTGAGAGACCTATGTGCTGGGTACCGGACTGTCACACTGAGTGATTACTCACTGTAATGTTGTCTGTTCAGTGTTTCAAGAAATCATCAAATGATAGAGATGGCACTCTTGGACAGGAATGCATTTTAGGAATCTGGTATTTATCTGAAAGGAGACATTGACTTAAAGGAGACATGGACATAAAGTCTTTCTTTCAAAATAAGAATACATCAAGTTTTTGTGCTACAATATGACACTTCTTTCTCTAGAACAGACAGGAAAGATTTTAGTGAGGCCCACAGAGCCAGCCAACTCCTCCACTACCACGCCTTCCTTTCAGTCTTTTGCCCTCCTGGGCATTCCAGATTTTCTTTTGCCCCGAGAACACCCTGTTTTTGCTGACTGAAACGCTGCCACTTTTGCCTTCTTCTCTGGCCCAATCCCTACTCACTGATGGCTCAGCTCACCTGTCACTTTTACCCAAGAGACTCTCTTTGAAAGGGCACCTTGAATGACCCTGATCCTCCCTGATGAGCTTCATAGAATTGATGGAGACCAAATAAGACCTTGGATGATGGGTTTGGTAATGAGCTGCTTCTGCTGGTTGCTCCCAAAGGCCAATGCTGTGGCTTTCTTACAGAATCTGTCAAAACAGTCACCCAGAGTAGATCTCCAATAGCTAAGGCTCTGTTAAGTCTGGCATGGCAAATTCTTAATCAAAAGAGGTGATCACAACAATGAAGGCAAACAATTTGGCAGGGTTGGTGCATTCCACAGTAGTCCACAAAGTCTGACATTATTTCCAAAGGCTAAATGTAACAGTTTTCAAGTCTGCTTCTATGTTATAATTGTTTCCTCCATTTCTTTAATTCCTATTTCAAAATTCATTGTTGAAGAATAACTTATAGAACAAAAGCATGCCTCTGTTTGATTAATTTTTCTTCTATGTTGTGTCAGGTAGAGTACACAATTAGGATCAAGGGACCCTTCACACAGCTAAGCAGCGTACATAACACATTCCTTAGGGGGAGCACAATTCAGTCACTAGACACATTCAGGAATATTGAAGCAAATCTCCGTGGAAATGGAATTTCCTCTGGGCAAAATATCTATCCATTGCAGGCATATGTTAAGCGTGATTTGCCTGTGAGTGCAGATGGCTTCAGTCATGATGTGAAGTCACAGAAGAGAAGGAAGAGGAATACATTCTGTAGGATTTCTTGTTGCCTGGGGACAGAAAGGAGTTACAACACATTACTTGGTCTTCAGTTTGCATATGTTGGTTTGATTTTATAAGTTATTGAATTTGGAAGCCATAAACTACAACATCAAAACATGTAATTCCCTCTTTACAACTACAGCAACAACAGCAGAAGCAGGTAATTCTATTGATTCGCTCGTCCTGGATAAAGAATGAGATTATATAAAACTAGACTTGTAATTGGGTTATAGAATTCTCTTGGCTCACAAATTACTTATTAGTTCTGCTTGTGTTTCCATGTCCCCATCCTATAGTCCTTTTGCTTTATTGCCGGAGGGAATATCCTCTCGTACATCTTTTCTTTACTTGAAATAATAATTAAAAAAAGCAAGAAGATACCTGTCAACGGATGTTGGTCTATCAATCTAATTTGGTTTACCTTATCCATTTGACATTATATATGTGATTTTGTGCTATACATATAATTTTTATTATAGGTAGTACATGACAAGTTAGCAATTAGCACAACAGGTGAGATGCGAACAAGGCACCCTCCAGGAAAATAACACTGGCTGGCCAATGGAAGAAGGAAGAGGACGTGGACTTCGAGACAGAGATAAAGGATTGGCTTCAAGAGCAGACACATGTAAAGCTAAATCTGGATGATGGCACAGGATCACTCAATCTCTTACGTTAACTAAAAGATGTTGTATATGATCGCTTTATCTCTTGTGACAAGTTAAAGGATTGGAAGACACATAGACTTCAGTTTTCTAAAGCCAGCTGTATCCTGTGACATTCCAGAGACAGTAACTTTGAGTACTGGAACATTCCAAATTTTGAAACCATCATGCGTTTGTTTATACAATGCAAGTGGATTGTTAGTCTCTTTGAAACACCATAGTAATGTGACTGTCATCTTGTTCTCCCTTTCCTCAGACAAATAAATACTGGATGGGGACCAACTTCTCTTAACAATAAGACTAGAAAATTATAGCTAAAAATGGCACATTTCCCCTACTTTTTAGCAATAGCAATACTAGAAAACTTAGTAATTTTAGCCAGTAAAATGAAAAATTACAAAGGTAAGAATCATAAAAATATATCACCCTGTAAGCTGCACGTGAGTGTGGATCGCATGTTATATACACGGGTGTGGATACCTCCTCTAACCCTTCCCTCCACGTCCTTCTTTCTTTTTAATTATTCTTTGTGTATTTCACATCCTGCATCTCTATTCCATTCATTTCCCTGTCCTTCTGTATCCTCTCTCTGCCACTATAGCACCCCCAAATTAAAATAAAAATAACGAGAAAAAAAAGAAAAAAAAACAGAAAAATAGGAAAAACCTAGTCATGGAAGCGGTAGTGTGACACCGTGAGCCACACAGCAAACCCTTTTGCCCATCTATCTTTAGGTGCAAGGGTTCATTGCAAAGAGTCATTGGTCTGATCGGGACCTCTGGTTTCTGCTACAACATTGATTCTCGTTGGAATTCACCCCTCTTGGATAGCCTGTTGTTGCCCTGTGTCATGGAGATTCTGCAGCGTTGGGTCTGCAGGACCGGCCCCTTCACGTGCTCCCACAGATCATAGATGGGGTGAACGTTGGGGTGGGCCAACATGTAAGTCTGGTACTGGGCCCGAATAATTACAGGGTTGGTCCGCCTGCCAGCTTTCCTCCTTTCTCACCACCAGGGTGAGCTCTCCAGCATTGCCCCAGCTAGTTCAGCCCTTGCTGCAGTCAGCAAGGGATGGGGCCAGTTCTGCTCTCTCACCCCGTAGAGTTGACTCTCCCGCAGCTGGACCATCAGAGTTCTATACTGTGCTGTCCAGGTGAGGTGCAGGATCCTCGTTCCCCAGTGCTGCGGCTGATAAGGGAGAGGGTCAGCTCCCTTGCCCACTACGGGTGACAGGGGCCAGGGAGGAAGGATATCTTTCCCTTGCCCTCACCCCCACGTGGCAGACGAGGGAGGTGAGGCCAACTATCTCGGTCTCACACCGCGGGCCAGCTCACCCACCCTTGCCTCTGCCAACATAGGCAGCTCGGTGTTGTGCTGCCCAGAGAAGGTGTAGGGCGCAGGTTCCCGAGTGCTGCAACTGATAAAGGGGAGGGTAGCTCGCTCATACACCACAGGTGGTGGGGAAGAGAAGTGCCTCCAGATCCTTTTAAGACAGAGTACCGCACTGTATCTGGAGCTAAACTGGTGGCCCACAAGCCCCAGTCATCCTGTTCCTCCCCACGGCGCAGGGTTGGCATGGCCATGACCAGTTTTTCAAGGATGCTGGGAATGCAAACTTGGATCTTCCTGTCTGTTCAGGAGATATTCTTACCCCGGAGCCATCTCCCTAGAACCTATGAGCAACTGCTTTTCTGTCATACCAAATGGAGTCCAACAAATCAGCAGTTTTTAAAAATTTAACAAGTATAGCTTTAAAAATTGTGAGAAGAAAATAGCACTATTTGGGAAAAGTGCTACACTAACGTAAACATCGGTGTTCTGTGTACCCTTGTGCACTTTCGTTGAAGGACGATCACCCTCAAGCAAACAAAGAAACAAACAAAATAACCCTTACTTTTCTGCAACAGGTAAGTTAGAGAGTAGAGAGTTGCCTCAACAGGGCAAGTGTTTGCTACGCAAACATGATGATTTGGGTTTAGATCAGCAGTTCTCATTTAAAATGTTGGGTATGTGTCAGCTGCCTGTAACCCCACTTCTGAGGGGGTAAAGACAGGAGGATCTCTGGGTTCACTGGCCAGTTAGTCTGATTGAACTACTGAGCTCCAGGACAAGAAAGAGAAACAGCCTAAAAACCAAAAAACAAATAAGGTAGAAAATGAACAAGGTGCCAGAGGCCAACCTCCAGCTGCCACACACTTGCTCATGTGTGTACTGCATGACACACATGGACAAACACGCACACACATACACAAATCACATGCAGCCAAAGACAAACTAATAATAAAAGGTGAAGTAAGAGTTAAAGCTAAGTTGATAAAGCATATAAAGACCTTTATTCCACATCTTCTGTTATATTACAAATATGTACAAGTGCAGTAATAAATTAAAACGGAGCAAAAGAAGCCTGAGAAGAGTTCCTTTTCTCCGGCGTCTCCCGGAGTTCATCTGATCCAAGTGGCTCATCGGCTGCCGCTTCCGCTGCTTTGTTTCCCCAGCGGGTCTCAGATGCACAGAGCAGCGCCTGCCTCCGCACAGCAGGCAGCGGCGTGGTAATAACAGAAACCCTGGAGAGCATCAGCGACAATCAAGACGTGTTGATGAACATTTGGACAATACTTTTAAAACTCTGCAAAAACTCTGTGAAGCTTTTCTCCTCCAGTTCCTCACATTCCTTGCAGCCATATTCTGTTAGATTCTGCAATCAAGAAGGAAGAATTAGATCAGCAAGCCGAATGCATTGCTTTCTTGGGGGTTATTATACTCTTGGAAACACATGGTGGGGGTCTTCGGACATAAAAACATTGTCAAACTCATATAAAGATAAGAGCAGCTATGAGAAAGAATCAAGAGATTTGATAGAAGTTGGTTTCTCCAACGTTGGGTTAAGAACTCTGCAAATGCATAGGCCTTGTATGTTAGACTGTGCTCTTCCTGCTTAAAGCCCGTCAATGGATTATTTGTTTCTGTCTTGAAGCCCATACTTCCCTGAATGTTCCATGGCCTCTGTGACACCTATCTCATCTTTCAGTAGCCTTGAATGCCATGACCTTGACCTTGATACACCAATAGAGTACTTGCCTTTCTACTCCATGTATATGTACATATATACATATGTGTATATATAGAATATATGTACACACACATATATAATCACAGACTTTGAGCATTTTTTTATATTACTATTCTCTAACCATTCCTAGGAAGATAACTGTATATTTTTGTTTCCCACGAATAAGCACAAGGCCTGGTACACAGTAGCTTCCTGAATGTTATTGGTTGATCTGAACCACTTAGGCAAATGCCATTAACACAGCTTCGGGAGAGCTAGAACGTTACAAGTGTACCAATCATGAATAAATAATTTAGAGATCTTCTGAACTATGAAGACTGTACCAGCAAAAATCAAAATTAGGCTTCATATCCTTTAGGCTCCTAGGAATCAGATTCCCCAATATTCACCAGCACACGCTGTAGGCCAGACACTCATATGCTTCTATTGCTTAGTTCTTGGTCCTGTAAACCATGTCAGAAGGGAAAGCCGAGACACTCACAGAGACTGTAAGCTGAAATTCTGCATGGGTCTCCCAAGCATGCAGTCCTGTTCACTTTTCCAGGACATATGCCAAGCTGTCACCTTGGGAGTGGTACCAACATGCAGCCTAAAGCGCAACACTGATGCTGTCCTGAGTTACCATCTGACTTTCCCATCATGAATACACGGTAATAACATATCACAGGAGTAGTTTAACCACAAAGAGATTCACTCGATAAGTATCCTGAGTGATGAACATCTGTAAGAACTGTATGTTCTGGGAATTGTAATCAAACATCCAAAAACCCCGAAAGCGTATATGCTCTGATGCTGCCTAACAGACAATTACAGCTGCTACACCTAATACATGATTTCAGAGTGTGGGATGTGTAGAGAAGGGGACGGAGAGAGATGACATGGGGAAAACATGGCACATGCAAATAGTTGACGTCAATGGGAAGGTGATGTCTGAGCAGGCACTATAGGCAGCCCAGCATTTGGGAGGAGAAGCAAAGTATCTCCATATCATTGTGTGTCCTGTTGTGTCTGCCTAATGATGCTCCCGGAGGGCCATCGGCACTCATTCCTGAAGCTCTGTGTAACATAGCAGCCTATTGGCTAGCCCTTCCCTACACCTGAACCCTAGTTCCCCTATACGCACATGCTTCCTCTCTTGCTACTGTACTTAATGACCAACTGACTGGGTCACTCATTTGCTAAGTGACTAATTCACTTTGCTCCTTCCTTCATAACTGGGACTCCAGACTTTAGCACAGTGTGCCGAAGTACTTACTAGATGAAATAATTTTATTGCACATGTTCTGATGACAGAGTTTCTTGGTTTCACCTTGTTTCACCCTGTGGTTGTGCCATTCAAACCACAGTTAATTCTGTGCACTCGAGAGCATTTGTACAGCGCACCCCTCAGCCAACCACAGGACTCACTAGTATTTGCTTTCTCATACCCTGCATGCTCATACTGTCTAGCATGCTCCAAATAACACTTGACGCATTAACAGTTTTGATTACGATAATCTTTCATTATTTACTATTTTAGAAGGTGAGAAGCCAGAAGCTGGAGCAGAGCCACAGCTCTTGTGCCATTAGCTGCACAAGTTGGGACCTGTGGTTGGTGCGGGGCATTCAGAGCGCATCAACGTTCCAACGGACATAAAGACAGCCAGATATGAAAAAACACGAGATTGCTCTCAAAGACTGGTCTTGAGGATTTCGTGCCTTATCAATTTAAAGACTACAGAGCAGTGACACTAGGAACTAACCCAGTGAATGTGAGCTGCCATTTCTGATGTTAAACACTTGACTGCACTGATGTCTCCCCACTGCACCCACACACCTGCCTGCCTGTCCAGTATGCCTCTTGCGCTAAAGCACACTGGCTGTCACTACTCAAAAATGCCTGATTACCAAGGGAATCAGTGAGCTCAGGATTCCATGCGTGGCAGCTCTGGCACCACTTCTGAAGGCCTCTGCACTGGAATCAGATTCCTTCCTGTGGTCCCCATGGGAGAATCCACTTATGTATGAATGCCTTATTCCAAGAGATCCCCAACCATCAGATGCAGCTCACTATGGTGGGTGGATAGCTCACCTTGTTAGAAGACAGAGTGCTGTTTGCTAGTAACATCAGGTTTTCTATTGTTCCATTAAGGTCCACGTCACTGTACTCGTGTAAAATAACCCGTAACTCCAGCAGAAAGCAATTCATTGCAGTAACTTTGCAACTGGGCTAAAAATAAGAATTGCGAAGAGCCAGTTTGAAACGAACAAGCAAAATAATTTTCCCATTTTTGATTTTTCACATTCATAAAACTTTAAAAAAATCAATCGCATCTAGTTATCTTACAAAGCAACATAATAACCATGTTACTTAGTTTTAACTGTCAACCAGACACAACCTAGAAGACAGTCTTAATGAGGAATTATCTATGAGGTTAACCTGTAGACATGTTCCTACAGGTTCATCTTCATTGTTAATTCATGGAGGAAGACCCAAATGACTGTAGGTACACCATTCCCTATGCAGGAGGTCCTGGGTGCTGCCACAGTAAAGAGAGTTAGCTAACAGCAAGCAAGCAAGCAAGTTCTCCTGCCTCTATTCTTGTCTATTAATTGGATGTTTTCAGTTCCTGACCTGATTTCCCATAATTATGAATGATAACTTGGAATTGTAAGCCAAATAAAGACTTGCTCCCCCAGTTGTTTTCTGTCTATGTACCAGTAAAGGATTTTATTTATGTAGGCAGCTACTTTTCTCCCATTTGGTTTTTAAATCAAAACTAAAACCAACAACAATGAAGAAGGGTGGTACTATTGTACGGAAGAAAACCAAAGGCCACCATTCCTCACTGAGCATGCCTCTTGCTCTCTGGGGGTGACACAGCAGTCTAGGAGTGACAGGGCATCTGGGGAAACATTGAGGGTCAGACTGTGTGCTCACATTTGAAGGAGAGATAACTGCCAGTCATACTGTCCCTACAGTTCCCTGCAGAACAAATTCCAAGAAACTCAAGGGGGGGGGGGGGGAGAAACAAAGCAGAGGTGGTACCCATTCGTGGGCTGGCCGAACCAGAAAGGGATTGTGAGCAACAGGAAAATGTTATTTCCTATAACAGCTAATTTACAAAACCCTAAATGATAAGAATGAATGAATAAATAAATAGAACAAAAGAAAGAAAAACACTTACTGGGATTCAAGAGTGATTTATATTAGGATGTGTCTGAATCTAAAATATAGTCAGAATAGTGCACTGAGGACTTTCTGATCAGGAAAAAAAGAAAAAGGAAAAAGCTGAGAAAACCAGAAAAATACACTAAAATCAGAAGAGGGGTCACCATGTGTTTGGGGAATATCTAGTTGTCTGAGTTCCAGGCTCCACCTTCTCCTCAACACACCAAGAGCAGGGAGCACAAACCTTCCACCTCCAAGAAGTTGCACTTGACAGTTTGGGACACATGTAGGCAGTTTGGTTTTGAACACATAATAGGCAATTTGGTTTTAGTTCCGGTTTCACTTCTGTCTCTGTCACTGTGATAAAATACTTTGATAAAGAAAAGCTTCCGGTTGAAAGGATGTCTTTCCTGCTCACAAATCCAAGTGATGGTCTATCAGCAGGAAGGCCAAGGCATGAGGACCTTAAGTGGTCAGATCCGGTTCTGAGCGGCAGAGGTGCTGCAGATGTGCCCACCTGGCCTTCTCTGCCCTCAGTCCAGTGTCCAGCAGGTGAAGCGCTGTAGGAAATCCGATAGCCAGTAATCTTTAAGAGGCCACGCCCAAAGGGGCGAGTAACTCAAAGGCTGTAGGATTTCCTACAGCAGTGAAATGGTACTGCCTACATTAGGAGTGGATCTTCCCACAATAGTCAACCAGATTAAGAAAAACAGCCCTTAGACATACCCTCAGGCAAAACTCATTGATGTTCTTATGAAGCTACTTTAAATTGTGACTCGTTAACATTTTAAAATAAATTAACCTTCACATTTTCCAAGCAGTGGTATTCAGATCAATCCCTTGGCTTTAGGGACAGTCTACAGTGAAAGAAGGAATCTAATGACAAATTACCAACAGCCATCATTATAATAAAGCTAGTTGTCATTTATAAATTCTAGTACATTCTTTGAATTATGTTTTTATCACACAGAAAATAAGGAATGGACTTCTTACAAGTGTAGAGATTCATGCAAAACACACAACATGGATACCCTCAAGCAAGCTGCAGTGGACGGTATTGAACTTGGTAACATACTACAGCACTAGGAATAATGGTATCGTGGAGACATTTAGATTGAATTATTTAGCGTCATTCCAGCTTCTAATCCTATGTTTATCTAACTGCATCACAGAAACCAACAGGAGATTTTGTTTGACGTTGATGGAAAGGTATTTATTTTTCCATTTTGATTTGGCACCATTACAAAAGTAGCATTTATGGAGCTCTTTTGTCCGAAGTCCCACAAATTCAATGATCCCTTAGAAATGTCATGGGTCAAACACTCTGAGAACCCACTGTAAGTTAGATTTTAGAATTGTAACTATTTCAGTGATTTTATGGGAATATGGCTGAGAACTGGAACATAGCAATTCTGAAAACCTAACTGTACTCACATGGAAGTCACTGTCCGTGTATAAAGTGGCATCGATATGGACAGACTGAAAGAGAAAGGGGTAATATGAAAGATTAGGTAAGACAACAACTTCCCGTAAACAATAAATTTAGGCCCTTAAGTTAATTTTGAACTTTGCAATAATTTTAAATTCTAATAGTTGTAAGAGAACATATAGTAAGACACTCTGACCCTTCTCTGTGTTACCCTGCTGGTCGTTGCTTGGCCACAACACAATTTTCCAACAAGGAATTCATATTTATGTAATGTTTGTCCCTTTACCAGTTTTTATCCCCCCATGCAATCTTATATATACTTTTATTATTTCTAGAATGCAAAAGAATTAGAACCATAAAGAATGCAACCTTATAGACTGACTTTTTAAAAAGTAATGCTTTCGGCAGCTGTGTTATAGGGAAAAACCAGCAGAATGTCTTGAGCCCTCTTCTGCTCCTTTATCTGATGTGAGAGGTCCTTCTATGTGTTGCTTTTATTGGTTAATGAATAAAGGAACTGCTTTGGGTCTATAGCAGAGCTATAGGGGAAGAACTAGGTGGAGAAAACTAAACGGAATGCTGGGGGTAAGAAGGCAGAGTCAGAGAGATGCCATGGATCCACCACTGGAGATAGATGTGCTGAAACTTTGCTGGTAGGCCATGACCATGTGGTTATACACAGATTAATGGAGATGGGTTAAATTAAGAGTTAGTGAAAAAGAAGTTAGAGCTAATGTGTCAAGTAGTGTTTTAATTAATACAATTTCTGTGTGATTATTTTGGGTCTAAGCTAGCTGGGCAACTGGGACAAACAAGTGACTCCCTCCAATATTTATTGGTTCCAGTTCCATCCATTGGTAATAACCTTCAGATATTCGGTACATTTGTCATGCTTGATGAGTGAACATTCGTACATAGCTACAATCTGGGTGTTTAATCCGCTGAACCTCTTGTTTCCAGGATGGAACCAGTGAAACTTCTGGCCAAAGGAACTAGAAGAGGACCCTGAAATGCAACTTTGAAAGGCTCTTTAGGACTTTCACCTCTTCATTTCTCCTTTGTTTCACTTTCTAGACAAATTGTAAACAGCTTGCTTTGCCATTAGAAGTTCTCAGCCCCACCAGAGAGGTTCAAATCGTTGGTTTAAAACCATCAGTCAAAATAAATCCTTTATGTTTTAAAATTAATTATCTCGGTGTATTTTGCAATAGTAGCGGTACGCTGATCGCTACCACTGTGATAGAGAAAACTTACAGGATACATATAGAATGGACTTTGATGATACAGTGGCAGGTATCCACCACTCTGATACCACACATTGAAGTTGTATTGTATTACAGAGAACCCATACTTTGCCTGCTCGTCTTTCTCTCCTTATTTATTTGTTTGTTTGTTTATTTATTTATGGTTTTTTTTGAGACTGGGTTTTTCTGTGTAGCTTTGGATCCTGTCCTAGAACTCACTCTGTAGACCAGGCTGGTCTCAAACCACAAAGATCCACCTGCCTCTGCCTCCTGAGTGCCGGGATTATAGGCATGTGCCACCACCACCCGGTCCTTCTCTCCTTTTTAAACCCTGTGGCCCAGGCATCTTTGTATTTGTTCTGTGACCTTGTCTTCTCCACAAGGACAAGCATCTGGAATCCCACAGCAGGAAGCCTCTTTACTGGCCTTCTTAAATACAGTGCGTTCACTATATGGTGTGCTCTCAGGCTGTTTGCTTCCTTGGCTTGGCCACCTACTTTTTGGTCACTGCTTGACTCTGTGTGTGCACCAAAATGAAGTCCATGGTGAATAAATTGGTGAGAGATTTGCCACCAGAGTCCTGGGGAAAAGCTGTCTTTCACTCACGAGCAAGGGTAGTAGTCTGAGGTATTTGAGTACACATTTTACGTGAAGTTGAAGAAGATGCCCTCCGTGATTCCTCTGCTGGGATAGTTGGTCTTGAACTAGTTCTACAGAATTTCACTGAAGCTGTTAGAATGTCATATGAGCTGGACGGCTTAAATAAAGACGTGTAATTGTTTTCAAATTCTGCAGGCAATCAGTCTCAGAAGACTGTGCCAGCAATAGTCTCCCAAGGCTTCTTCTGTAGCCTTATCATTGCTCGTCTTGTCTTCTCTCAATCTCCTCATGGTATCTTCCTCCTGTGGGGAATTGCATGGTTTTCTGTCTTCCTAAGGACATTGGCCAAACTGGGTTCACATCATCTTAATGACCCTATTGTAACTTAAATGGCTCTTTAAAGATCTTGTATGAAAACACAATCACACTAAGGGTTGTGGACAGTAATTAAAGAAGGGAAATCCATTCTGTACAAGAGGTACTGTATTAATCACGTCTTTTCTAAATCAATTGATATGATTTTCTTTTTAGGCTCCTGATGTGTCAGGTTGGATTGATTGATTGATTGATCTTCAAATAATGAAAATATTTGCATACTTAGAATAAATCCCTTATATTGATGTTATTCTTTTTATATTATACACTAATAGATCTAAATGGTAATATTTTAATTGAGGAATTTTATGCTAAGGGTATGAGAGTCCCTTGTCTTGGTATCATATTATACATCAGGGTAAGATCAGTCTTTCAAGCTGAGTGGGAGGGGCTTCCTTCCCACTTCTCCCTCTGGAAGAGACTAGGATCATCATTAAATAGATGGTTTCTTGAACCATCGATTTCATTATTGCTATGTTTGGGGAGTTTGTATTTGATGAGCTGGCCAATTTTCTGTAGGTCATTGGTGCAGAATCTGAAGTTACAACAAGATACTAAGGGAAATGATAAAGAAGTTGATTACCATAGATTCTGTGCCACCATTCACCCATGGTACTGGCACTGTGTTTCTTCTCTCATTTATTAGATGTTTATTAATTTGACTGATTTTTTTCAAATTAATACCCTTTTGTTTCACTGATTTGCCCACCACCTTCCTGCTTTCAGTTTCATTAATTTCTTCTCTGAGATCAACTCTCTTCCTCCCTCTACTTGTGTGGAATTTATGTTGTGACTCCTCTAACGTGGGGAGCTGTAACTTAGGTGGCTGCCTTGATCTCAGCACTCTCCCGCATTTCTAGCACACTGATCTAATCTTTAAGTTTCCTCATCCTTGCCAGCTCACATCTTAACAGACTGAACTTTAGTTTACTCAGTTTTATGTATTTTTTCCTATATTTGAGAATTAGTCTTCAACCCCTGTTCTATTTAGAAATATATTATGCAACTTGTAAATTTGGGGGAACTTCATCGATGTATTTTTTTCATTTTTTTTATCTACATTTTGATTCTATTGTGTTTTAAACATACTTTCTGCATGATCAGTTTTGGTGAGTTTCATGAACCTGACTTTGTGGCTGAGAATATATTTATTTAGTCTTAGTAACCATTCTATGGGAATTGCTGAAAGTTTGTTCTGATGTCATTGAGTAGAATGGTTCATGCATAAAGTAAATCCTATTAGTTTGTTTTCACATGGTTTCTATCTTTTGCTTAATAGTTTAGCTAGTTATTGGGCTGGAGACAGTGAAATCTACAACTGTAATCATAAATTTGTTTGTTTTTCCTTTGCGCTGTTAAATTTTTGTATTAGGAATTTTGAGACTCTGTTGCTTAGTGCATATATATTAAGAACCAGTGTTTCTTCTTCATGAATTTTCTTTTGTCATTAATGTTGCTCTTGGAATTAGCTATATTTCTCACCATATTGGCTTTATTTGATACTAATATAAGACTCACAATGGTCTTGATTGTGCCTTCCCTCTTCTTGGTTTGACTAATGATTTTTCCTTGTATCTGGGTATGATAGCTATTATACTGGGAGATTCTTGTCCTACTTCAGTACTCTATTTGAATATGCAGTCAATCACCTGTTGAGATGTTTTGCCTGCAGTCTGAATTGCTACTGTGAGCTATGATCCAAACAGCATCTTAGGGTTCAGGACCTCCACAGACCTTCAATTATAATCCCCACTTCTTCAGACCAGGTTCCCTGGCTTCTGCTGGTTGATGATGGAAAACACTGGCCCATAGGGACAGCACACACCTTCCAGTACTGTCATTTAGAATGCTATTCCTGAGTTTCCTGACCAGATCCAGCAGAGCCTGCTCCTAGGACACTGGTGCCTCTAGGCAGGAGAAGAAAATCTACAATGCCCAGAAAAGGTATGTCATTCTCCAGCTAGTGTGACATTGGGTCCCCTTCATGGAAGCTGCTTTCCAGATAAGGAGAGAGCGTTTCTGATGTGGGAGGAACGGAGCTCTTTAGTTACATTACTTAGAAATTGCATTGACTTTTGACTCCCTTAGTAGTTCCTTGAAAATTTTGTACACTCTTTTGAAATTTACTCTTCTTCTAACTCCCTCCATGTTCACACCCCTTCCCTATCCACCCAGCTTTGTGTCTTCGTCTTTTCTTTCCTTTTTTCCTTTAGCTCATATGCTGCTGCAAGGTGTGAGACCCTGCACTGGAGCTGGATGACCCTCCAGGGCACACCCTTAAAGAAAACCCATTCTCCAGCTCTCAGCGACTACTAATTGCTAATATGTCCTTGACTTGGGGTGAACTTCATGTCAACCTCTGCACTTCTGGCTGGATTTTATTTGGCTTGAGATTGTGTGGGTCTTGTGGATGCTATCATAACTGCTATCAGTTCAAATGGACAGCTACCCTGTTGTATTGGAAAAACATTGTTTCTTCATAGTCATTTCCTGCCTCGGACTCTTACAACTTTCCCAACAACTCTTCTACAAAGAATTCCACGGGGAAGAGGGTGCATCATATTGATGTCGTGTTTAGGGTTGAGCATTCTGTTGTCTCTCACTCTCTATTCCTTGACCAGTTATAGATCTCTGTGGTAATCACCATTTACTGCAAAAGAAGCTTCTCTGATGGGGGTTGGGCAATGCGCTACTCTATGGGTTTAATGATCAGTCATTAGGAGTCATTTTCATGCTATACATTTAGCAGAATGATAGTAATGAGTTCTTCATGAGAGCCTAGGGCCTGTCTAGCCACAGGCTCTTAGCTCTGATAAAGGTATAAGTTTTCACAATAATTTGAACTTGAAAGAAATGCCTTAGGAGGTTTTGCAAAGTTCAAGCATTATTATTTCAAATGGTATTATTTCATGGGGGCTTATAGAAAAACATAAGAGACACGTACTTTATAGCCATCATATGTTCTTCTGGGGAAAAGTGATATCAATTATCTTCCCCCACACTGACTCCTACATACCACAATAGCAACCAGCCACGCAACATGTGGTTGTGGCAAGACGATTTTAGATAACTAACAGATTTTAAGAAACGTCATGCCTGGCACTAAAATCCCGATCAAAAGCCCATGGCTGGGAGGTCATATGCCCTAGGGTAGAACCTGCTCCTGATATTTTCTTAATGGCCATGCTGTCAAATAACCTTCTATATATCTACGGTTATATTCACAGGCTTGGTATCCCACCAACCTTGGCCATAAAGACTTCTTTTTTTTCGGTGGGAAGCAATCAGTGCTAAGGCATAATTAGTCAAAGTGCGACCAAGAAGAAATCGATTGCTCTGCACTAAATGAGATACCTTCATCAGCCATACTTCCTGTCCTGCCAAGGCTCAGAAGATGCTGACGAAAGGGAGGCAGAGAAATCTGAAAGCCAGAGGGTGAGGAGGAGCGCAGTGAAACACTGTCTTCTGCATGTGACGTGGCTGCCACGTGCACACATGTGTCACATGTGTTCCCTGCACAAGATCTAGTCTGCCAAGATGAGCGTGGAGATGGGGATGCACTCTCCTGGTTCTGCTCCCATGGGACCTGTTGGTACTTGGTAGCTACTGGGGGAGGGACAATTATTCTCTTTTGATGGCATTTCCACTCTTATTTTCCTGTGTTCCTGTGAATGGCCATGTAGCCATGTATATACGGCAACACTAATTGGACTTAGTGGGTCATCAAAAATCAAGGAAAAAAATAAACAACATCGGGCATGGAAACCATGGGGGGGATGGAAGAGGGGAACTTAAGAGGAGTGAAATGGGGAGTAGAAATGATCATATTTTACAATATTCATGTATGAAATTCTCAGAATAAAAATTACTATACAAATATGAACTTTAAACAAAAAGAAAAGAAAAATGAATACTCACTTTAATAAGAGATTCAATGTATTCTAGGTCACTTAGTACATCCCTCCAGTTGGCTTCTGTTTTAGGGAGACCTACACTGACACAGCTGGAAGAGAACACAAAGACAAGAATTTGAGAGAGGATGTCCTTGTCTGACTGAGAATCTAAGCAAGCGAATGAATGACCAAGTTCATTTATATTCCCACTAGAGGGAAAAGCCCAGGCTTTTTCTGTCTCTGCACTCAACAGCTCAGTGGGTGACTAGAAACATCAAATATACAGTACAACTTTGATACTCTGAGCTAATTCGAGGAGGACTATCCAACCTTGAGGATTAGAGAAAGGCTAATTAGATCATCTGTAAGTAACCACATGCGGTTAGTCACAATGAAACTGGAAGAGCATCTGATGTGTGGCATGCTCAATAAATGTTCTTGAAGTACAAGTTCCATTAGAGTTTTGAGGTTAATAAGTGTAGAACCTTAAGCACTAATCTTTTCCATGTGACAATTGTGAGAGGAAGTGTCCCTTCCAGCATGTTAACTATGCCTTTTTCACTATGCTCACACTATTCTGATGCTAGGACTATTTAAGAGTCACTGAAGACTTAACTAAATACAAGATGGATGACCACAGACTTATTCACTTTGGTTAAAACTGAAATTTAATATCCAGAATAAAAGACACATTGATGAAGTGATGGTGAAGTGATTCATAAAGCCTCAGGAAACACAGTTATTCTCAGAGGGATCATGAACAAGGCATGTCAGCCAATGACAATCTGTTTAATGGGAACAATTCACATGCATGATATCAGTAAATGGGATACTTATAGCAAGAAGCTAGATTGCTTTGGGGGATAGAATATACACATGGATACCGGAAAGGTGCCGAAATCCTCAGGTAGGTAAGCTCCCTAAGCCTCTCCACAGTCCCCGGCACATCCAGCCCTGAAGAGTGAAGACCTCCACACTAGCAAACCGAACGCAGTGACATTCCACCAGGAAGAAATTCAAGGTCAGATAGGCGTGCTGTTGACATGGTAGCAGTTATAATTAAAGAGGAAATTACCCCAAAATGAAGACATGAATGCCAGCCTCGGTCAGGAAATGACTGTTCAGCAGGAAACACAGGTAGCAGGAGATGGATGTATTCCTCATATATGGTTTCTGGAAAACAGAATTGCAGACGCTAGGGTGAAATATCTCCAGTTACAAACATGTAAGGCTGCATTTTGTTGTATTTTAGGTGCGAAATTGTAGCGCTGCCTTTTCACAATCAACAATCTTTATCAGGAGCAGTGAAAGGTCAGCAGATCTTCTGTTTAACTCTAGTCTCCAGACTCTCCAGCAGCTATTCCTCCAGCTGAAGGTCGATGATGAACTGACATTCTTAGCAATCGACACACATCCTAGGAGTTCTTCTGTCATCACGGAATTCCCCTCACTGTCTCTCCATTTAACAGACCACACAGTGCCTGCAGCCTAGATTAGAATGTGAACCAATAGCAAGCAACTAATTGTACATTAAGTTCATGCAAGTATATGGAAATCAAAACATATTATTATCACATGGAGAAAAACTGGATAGAAATGAAACCAGTAAAGGCATCTGGGCCAAATCGTGCATACCATCAATCCTGGCACTAGAGAGAGAGGACATGAAATCCTGTGAGGTTGAGCCTGGTCTATATGGTGAATTCCAGGCTACCCAGGGCTACGTAGTGATGAGACCCTATCTCAAGAAGTGTCTCCTTTCCCATTCTAACAGCCATGACATAAAAGCTTTTCCTGGTTAATTAGAAACTTGTTTGTCTGAGACAGACCCAGATTTGATTCCTAGACCTGACTCTCTAGTATTTTCAAAGCTTTTTATAGTTACAGAGAATAATGTCAGCCAATAGCTCAACCACCAGAAGACTGTGTTCTATTTAGTCTCTGCTGAAAAGATGCAGAACACCAGACCTTGCCCTCAGAGGCATAACTTATGTGGTAAATAGACAGAGAACAAGAGAGACTGAGCTAAGTAAGATAATGCATTACCAATGGCATGGAGAGAACGGGCAGACTGTTAGTCTTGCTCAAAAATGCACTTTACTTATCTTTAAAATAAAGACAAACCATGGGAAAACAGATGTCTGTCCAAGCCAGAGATGTTTAGTGAATAATCATACCAGTTATTATAAAATACAGCTGAGATGAAGGTGACTTAAGAAATATGCTATTTTTGTCTGCTTTTTCCTTACCAAAATTTTCATTACTCAATGCCCAGGTAATTGCTTGAGTAGTGAAGAGCTGGCTATGGTGATGGGTTTCCAGCTGCCATCCATGCAGAACGCCTCCTGGAACACAACCAGGGTAAAGGACGACAATCAAAACCACACACGGGCAACGCGGAGGCGGACAAGGAAGGACCGGGTGTTTACAGAGCATCTGCTTCCCAAGGGAGATGCTTTTTAACATACACATCACATCAAATAGTCCTGAGAGCATTTGGGAAACCTGATCTGGCCTCATGACTGCCAAAACTAGAGGCCAGGTTTGTTGAATCCAAAGACCAAAACCCTGTCTTCCTCACTGTGTCCCAGATCTAACAGATTTCAGTTAGATCTAACTGATGTCTCTAACTCTAACAATTAGAGTTAGAGACATCCAAATACATAAGCTTAAATAGCCACCAGGTGATGATCTAATTTACAGTAGCTGCTACATCTGCAGGCTTCAAATAGATCTTAGGTCTGCTCTTCAAAATAGTTTATTAGAACACCATTTACAAATTTCCTAAATAACAAAATTATGTTTGTTTTCTAATTCAAAGTATGAGAACATGTGATGGTAAAACACCCCCATTCAACTCCATTTCATTAAAATAGTCAAACTCAAAATACATCAAATATAGACAGTCTTCTTAGGCTTAAAATTGACACATATTAATTGAACTTTCAACAAAATATTAATATCTTTTGCTAATATAATATAATTTACCACAATTAATTGTCTTAATTTTTACACTTTTAAGATGCTTTCTAATGTGTAAATATTTTCTGTAAATAATATTGGCCTTATTTTTACATTGTGTGTATGCCTGTGTGTGTCTGTGCATATCTGTGTGCATATGTGTCTGTGTGTGACTATGTGTGTGTCTGTGTGTCTACATGTGTATCTGTGTGTGTTTCTGTGTATGTATCTCTGTCTGTGTGTGCATCTGTGTGTGTGTCTGTGTGTGCACTGTGTACACGCCATAGTGCATGCGTGGAAGGCAGGAAACAAATTGTAGAGTTCCCTGTCTCCTTCCTCCACTTGGGTTTCTCCAATCAAAGTTAGGTCATCAGGTTTGTCAGCAAATAGTGTCACCTACTGAGCTATCTTGTCATGCTGTATTCTTAAAAGGAAAAAAAAAACCATAATATTTATTGGGATATAAAACAAGATGCTAGAGGTGTGTGGGCAATGCCATGTTTCTGTGCAGTCTTGACCCAGTGTTCCATGTGGTCCTGGCGTTAGCCTTCCCCTTCCAGCAATAGTTCATATATTAAGGTTGCGTGTGCAAGGGCCAGAAAGGTTGAGCCTTGGTTACGCCTATGACTGATGTTTGCACTCAAAACCTAAGTCACCTGACCCACACAGAAAGCTTAAGCAAGGAAGACTCCCGAGGCAGCTAGGTCTTCCCAGTCAGCCTCCACCAACTTGTCGTATACCTCAGTAGTGCCCGATTAACTTTTCCTTGCATCTCCTGCTGGTCTTTATCTGTAGTCTTTCTGCTAAGGACCATACCTTCCCAATTCACCAGTAACAGGAGCTTATTATATTATGTGTGTGATTGTTCCAGGCACGGTAACCTGCAAGTGACAGACAACCTGGAAGAGAGAGCTCGATTTGAAACTGTGCAAGACAAGTAAGTGGCTATTGGAAGAGCAGACCGGAGAGGAGCATGAAGCTTGTCTGTGTTGAGGGCTGTGAAATAATGCACGTGGGCTGTTTGCTTCCTATATTGCAAGTCTTCATAGCAACGTGTCATTCCAATCCTGTAAGATGCTGCCTTGTTGCTGACATATGAAATAGTGTGGCCTCGGGGAAGGCACCTGGGTGAGGACACGTGCACCCGAGCACTGTGTTCTCAGAGCAGTGAGTCATTCTCCTAACAGAGCAACGGAGGGCGATACAGTGGGCACGCTGTAACTGCTGTACGAATCAGAGTCATTTTCCTCCAAGGACCATGCAAGAAGTAGCTCCTACTAAAGTTTTATACTTCCGGTCCCAATTACATCAATCTCCACTACAGCTTGAAAGTAGGAGCAGATGATGAATGGGGCTGGCTGCAACCCAACTCAGCTTCATTACCAAAATAGGTGGCTGATGCCTCTGACTCACCAAACATCCCTTGATGAACAAATATTTGGCTTGCTGGCAATGCCTAGCTCCTGCGGGTCCCTTATTCCATCCTCATTTAAACACAGCTGAGAAAGTCATGTCTTTGGATGTCTTGCTGCACCTTACTCTGGAAGTCTAGCAGGAACTGCTGTCTAGTTGCCCTTGGGAGGACTAGTGGGACTCAATCGGAAACTCACTCAGTTCCCATTAGAGTAGGTTCTTATGAAAAAGCCAGCCTGGCATATGGTTTCACCATGTGCCCTATCCTTCTTGTGTGCACTTTTACCATGGTGAAGCCGCATACAACCCAAGTGGCACCGTCACCAAGGCCAAACCAATGAGGCCACTTGGTTTTCCACTTTCAGCTCTAGAACAGTGAGTCAAATATACCTCTTTCCTTGAGAGGTGTCCAGCCTTAGGGATGTTGCGACAGCAACAGGAAATAGACTGGCACATGACTCTAAACATGACAGTCCAGCATAAAACAGAAAAATAAGTGACCAGTTAAGATTTTTCATGCTTTTAAAATATCACTTCACATAAAGAGAGATGGGCATATACACACATATTAATGAAATAAATTAAGGCTCTTGGGAATGATGAAAATGAGATCAGCTGCTGGTTAACAAAATTATTCCCAGGCTAAACATTACCCATGTAAGACTGAAATGCCCATAACAAGCATACGGTTTGGGCCTGCACAGTTGTAAGCACTATTTAATAAACAATAATTAAACAAAAATTAATTTTAAACTGATATAAAATAAATATAAAACACTTTAGATAGTTTGCCATTTACAATAGACATCACACAAGAGTCATCTGATAAGTGGACTGATCTAGGTTTATTTTATTTTTTGATATTTAATAGGAATGCTTGCAAAAGCTACTTTCATAAGTGTTCTTGAAAAATTCCAGCTAAACCAATTCTGTGGGCAGATATCCTAGACAGCTTCTTTGGGAAATCATAACAACAAAACTTAACACTGTCCAGAAACAGTCATTAGGATATCCCACTCCAGAGATACCCTAAAAACACTTTATTCAAACCCTCACAAAGGAAGAAGAAATTCTACCAAGGCATTCTGCATGGGAAGAAAGACGGGAATTATAGCAGAGCGTTAAAAATCAATATATCACCTAAAAGGAGTTCCAGAAGGAAACAGAAAGAATGGAAAAAATGAAGAAACCAAAAAACCCAATAGGAAACTTCAAGGCAGTAAAGAAAAACACAAGCATTCACACTGAAGGAGGATAGAAGGGGTAAATAAACACTAAGCAATTTAAAGGATATACCTGTTCTCAGCCAGTTCTTTAAAGCCAGAGGCAGAGAGACCTGATGATGCTGGACAAGACCAAGAAATTAAGCTTCAACATCAGCATCCCAACTTAACCAGTGCTTATTGGGGAGAAAGCGAGCAAAGCACTCTCATGTCAGACCTTAGAAAATGTAAGAACTAGGGCTGGGGAGATGGTGCAGAGCTTCAGGGTACTTAGATTGTGCTGTGGGACAGTCCTGTCAATTATGTTTTAAATAAACACTAATTGGCCAGTAGCCAGGCAGGAAGTATAGGCGGGGCAATGAGAGCAGGAGAATTCTGCAGTCGTGACCCAGCCACAGAAGAAGCAAGATATGACGGCCTCGCTGAATAAGGTACTGAACCACGTGGCTAGCATAGCCAAGGACAATGGGCTAATAAGAGTTATAAGAGTTAGAAAGAAGTCTGAGGTAACGGGACAGTCAGTTTATAAATAATGTAGACCTCTGTGTGATTTTTTTGGGACATAACAATTGCAGGAACTGAGCAGGACAGAAATCTCTAGCAACAAGATTGTCAACATACTTATGCAGAATTCTGGTAATTATATACACTCATAAAACCATCACAGCCACTGTGACAGACACCATATTTATAAAGGCAAAAAACAACCCTCGTGTGCTCCATCCTTAGCTCTAATGTGAGGCACTACTGACTTATCCATGAACACTCACTGCAGCAGCAGGAAGCAAAGGACATGGATGGTTGCCACGGGAGACAAAGTGTGAAGAAAGGAAGGCATAAGTGCATTCCAAGGTTACCATTTTTATTTAGAGTATTTTAAGCTTATGTTCATGCTGATCAATTGAAAGAATCAAGAGAAAACTTAACTGTTGGGGAGGGGGAGCCAGATAACATGTAATTTCCAAACTCATTAAAAAGCAAAACAATGCAAAGACAATTTAAATACTCTTACAGAAAATGATGGTCATAGTAGACAGTAAGAAAACCTCTCTCTCTCTCTCTCCCTCTCTCTCTCCCTCTCTCTCTCTTTCTCTCTCTCTCTCTCTCTCTCACACACACACATGGGGGGGAAGGGGACAGTAAAATATATTCATGAAAAGTGCTAACACTGAGACCATACATGCCAATAACATTCAGTACATGTGAAAATACAACAAAACAGTAATTTGCTTGAAAAACAAATGTTACGATTAGTATGGAAAACAGAGAGGGAGACAAATTCCAAAATAAGTAGCTGAACAGAACAGACAGCAAGTATTCTAAACATATGCAGCTGGTACAGTGGTCCTATCTCAGAAACCAATTCCAGGTGACGTGGAATAGAATATAGACCCGTGAGAAGACGGAGCAAGTACGATTATGTTCACAGGAAACAGAATAGCCCCAATTACATACTGAAAGATAATAGGGGAAAAGTATGTTAGGAAATGTTCATGTTCTCCAGAAATTTAAATATAAAGATCAGTAGGACAAGTCGTGGCATGTCAGTAAAATTTGCCCGTTTCCATCCTACCAACACTTCACCTACTGATTTCAGGGTACCAATAAAGGTTTATCAAGCAGATCATAACCTTCCCAACTGATTGTCCATTGCTTCCTCACTTCACTGCCTAGAGACAAGTTTAAAATACAACTTTTTGTTCTCTCTCTCTCTTTGTGTGTGTGTGTGTGTGTGTGTGTGTGTGTGT